TTCAGGAATTTATTCAAGGCAAATCACACCCCAAGAGAATACTTGAATCAAGATAGTTCATGCTGTTAAATTGTGGACATAACACAATAAAGATATAAAGTTTTAACTCATATTGTATTGAATACAGCCATAGCATGATCCACTCGAGAAGTTAGCGATAGAAGAATTTTCATTTCCGTTTGTCAACAAAGATCGTGAAACATTGATTCTGGACTACAATACGATATTTCCTGATGATCAAATAGCCACAACCTGTTGTTTTTGTTGTTGTTGTTTAGCGCCGCGATCAGCAATATTCCAGCTATATGACGGCAGTCTGAAAATACTGGACCAGACAATCCAGTGATTGACATCATGAACATTCATCTACGCCATATGCATACGATGACATGCATGAAGCATGTCAGCGACCCGATCCCGTGAGTCGCCTCTTATGACAAGCATAGTCGTCATTTATGGCCAGCATGGGTTGCTGAGGACCTATTCTACCCCGGATCTTCACGGGTCGTCACCTCTTACGGCAAGCATGGGTTGCTGAAGACCTATTCTACCCCGGATCTTCGCGGGTCGTCACCTCTTACGGCAAGCATGGGTTGCTGAAGACCTATTCTACCCCGGATCTTCGCGGGTCGTCACCTCTTACGGCAAGCATGGGTTGCTAAGACCTGTTCTACCCCGGATCTTCACGGGCCTGAACAAATGGTAACTCTGTACTGCTCTACCCGACTCTGATACATAGATAAGACTCAGTAACGCCCTCTGACAGTTCCTGTATTTGACCCGGCCTGTACAGACACTGACAAAGTCGACCTTGAAGAATATCATGGACAGTGTAATACCCCTAATTTTTTGAGCCATTATCGTCTGAATACACAACACTTGAATTGAAAACTTCAGGATAACTTTGTTATAAACGGGAAACTACGGATGAGTCAAAGCATGTCCTGCCGCCGTATCCTTAAATAAGCACACATTTCCCGGATCTTCAGTTCGTTCACAGGCAGTTAATATGCCTCTTCCCCCATTCTATTCCTTCACCACTATTTTCGACCCTCTTCCCGAGGCAAGGGCGTTAACTGACTATAAAAGTCCAGTTTACATATAGTCCCTTACCTCGGGAAGATGTTTTCGACCGACTCTGAACGGTATAATGAAGGGGCTGTTTGGATTGTGTTCTCCGATCATGAGAACATCATAATATTACTGATTCTGCAGCTAGAGGTTGATGCTCTGCAACACTATCACCTCCTTGATATGTGTTTGCTGGGAATAACTGTCAGCTCTGTCTCCCGGATGTGGACACCTATGCTCATGGCGCCAAGCCTTGTAAGAATATACCACCTTTGCAATGCACAGGGCATGTGCTGTGAACCCCAATACCTGAAAAGCAACCACAATAGTATAGTATGATTAACGGGCAATGAATATTGTAAGATACAAAGATCCAGAAATACCGCTCACGTGATGTAAACCTGGAATACGAGAGCAAGGTTGTTCGAAAGACTACTGTCACCATTTTTAGCTAGAATTAATTTAAAAAAATTAATCGAAATTTCTCGTTATTTCAATTGTTTTCTCGAAATTTCTAGTTCTTCCTCGTTACTTCGAATATTTTCTCGTTATTTCAAATTTATCTCCAAAACTCGAAATTTTGAATTTTTTCTTGTTGCTTCGATTATTTTCTCGTTATTTCGATAGATTTTGCGTTGCTTCGACCTTTTCTCATTACATCGAAATTTGTTCTCGTTATTTTAAGTATTTTCTCGAAATATCGAGTTTTTGAAACAAACTTGAAATAACGAGAAAAAACTTGAAATTTCGAGAAAATATACAAATAATTGAAATAACGAGAAAGTTCGATTAATATATATTACCAAAGTGGCACCATTGGGCTTTCGTAAGGTTGCAAGGTTAATTTAGTTATTGTGAAGATGGAAAGTTTAAATGTCAAACGACGCACGACCCTTAATGACCTCGGTCATGTTTTGGGCAAGTGTCTTCAGATATGAACGTACCGTGGCTGCGTCAATCTCGGACTGGCCACATACGTCGACTGCCGCCATGACTGACGCAATGAAGTACAAGACAGACCACACAGAGTACCATATCATGTCCTGGAAACATAGCCACACAATAGTAGTATCAATAGTAATGATTTAACAGTTTGAAACACGTAAATATATTCCAGACACTGGGAAATGATAGACGTTGGGGTAATAATATTCCCAAATAAGCCTCCGAGGAAGGACATTGTTTATAGATTTACATATCTGGACTTTTCGCTTGGCTGATGGTACTGTCTTTGTCATATCATGGAATATCAGTTATTACAAATTATAGATATTATACATTATTATTCATATTTTAGTATGCCTCGTACGAATACTTGGTTTGTCTATGGATTTGATTGTGACGGGTGCCACCGGCGGGGTCAGATACGCTCACTTTTTCGCGAACACCTGGGGTCATCACTATTTGATATTGATTCATAAAACATTGCTCAGTATAGGTCGGAATGGTCCCATTGTCTCTGCTTTAAGCAGATTCCTTTTTTGATCATGGATTATTTTCTCAGGCCATCCTATTTTTTTATTTTAGATTATTATAGGTTCTATCTTATGATGCATGTATTTATATCTGCAAGCACAAATGCTACGATAACATTTGCACATTCTCCAACATCAAACGCCACAATTATATACTACCATACGCTACCGTACACTAACTGTTCAACTTATAAATAGGCCTTTTATGAAATGTACATTTTATTTATTAAACCTACAGATTCTAGATGCATAAATTTTACATTCCTAAATAGCCCCATTGTTTATTGTTTATCACAACTTTGGAAAGGTTTGTCTCTTCAATCAATATATAGATCTAACCCTCACATCGTATACAAGCCACTTTAAGCAAAGTGGTTTATCATTTGGTCAGAAATGGGCTTCAGGGCTTCACACATTGTACCTATGTGGGACTCGAACCCAGGCCTTCGGTGTGATGAGTATAACGAACCACGGGTAGGAAGTACGGAAGGTAAGTTTTCCGAATTAAAAGGGTCCGGATTACCGGAGTTTCGTTGCATTTTGATTACACCACGGCAGTGTGAACTTTACCGATAAAGCGGATTTTAGCGACATTGTTCGAGTTCGACCTTATCATGAGAATGTGTTTATGAATCACTGTCAAATAGTGGTGACATTAAATCTAAGGAACAATCCGCAAAATCGCGCATGCACGAAACGGAAAATTTGGACAAGGCATTAAACAATCCGAATACGCAGAACGCACTTCCGCTAAGCGCTACGAGTACAGCGTCAAACTCCGGCCTGTAATCTAACGCGCGAGAACTGACCAGTGAAATCTGAGAAGCATAAATACCGGTAGAGGCTGTTGCTTGATTGACAATGTCAATCAAGGAAAGGATGAGCTTGATGATATCGTTGTCTTCCAATAAATTCCGATGTCAAATAAAGACCTTATTTGGACGGAAAAACGATGGTTTGAAAGCGTCCAAAAAACGTCGTTTTCCCGTCCAATGACCATATACGGAAAAACGACGTTTTCGTGTTTGCAGTGCAATGCATGTGTATAGACAGACTAGTGCAGATCGACGCTACCGTAATGCCCGTTGAGATTTCCTTTCCTTTAAACTGCTATACATAACTTACGAAGAATGAAATAACATAAATTGTACGAGAACACTTTACCATGAAATATCACAACTATTGGAAGGCAGGATTGGGTTAAAAATGGATTACAAATAATTATCTTAAAATAATGATATTCTATAGAAAGCCTTATTGGTCTCTTCTCGAATCAATCAAAGACCATTCGAATTTGTTTGGGATACGCGCTACTTCAAATCACCTGCTGGTTGGTTGGTTTGGTTTGTTGTTTTACGCCGCACTCAGCAATATTCCAGCTATATGACGGCGGTCTGTAAAACATCGAGTCTGGACCAGACAATCCAGTGATTTATATCATGAGCATCGATCCACGCAATTGGGATCGATGACATGCATCAACCAATTCTGCGAGCCTGACCACCCGATCCCGTTAGTCGCCTTTTACGACAAGCATGGTCCTCTTTTACGGCAAGCATGGGTTCCTGAAGACCTATTCTAACCCGGAATCTTCACGGGTCCCTGCTGATTGAGAATATTTGTAGAATTACTTTAACCTTTCTGTGTATGAATATAAATAGGAACGACAAAAAGAATAATAAGAAACACTCGGAAACATTTCGATTATCTGCCGAAACAGATTCCTTAGAGCGTAATAGGCAAAAATAGACGGGAAAATTATTTGAACAGATCACTGAAAATCAGTTATGACACCAGGTGTTTGCGAAAAGGGTAAGCAAGTTTTGCAACGGCTTGGGATGCTGTTAATGTTACTCTCTTTGAAATTTTCGTCAAAAGTGCATGTGATCGTGACCCAAAAGTGAAAAATCGACATCACAGACTGGAGGTGATGGACTATTGCTCGACATAAAGGGGAATTTGCCTATTGGTTGGAAGTCATCCCTCTTGTCATACAGTATGGTGGATACGTTTTGTAATGCTATCACTATAAGAAACAGATGAGGCGGTTTCACTGGTCACTTTCACGTCTAGTTCCAGGGATTAAATCAGTGGAAGGTATTGGCTATTTCGATCATCATTGGACGATCTGAAATCAGTTATATACCTGAAGATCTTGCCAATCCGATCAGAAATTCCGATTAATTTTCATTTAGAAACAGATCAGTAAGATGGGCATCACAGTTGGTGCCCATGGGGTTGCCTAATTCTTGCCCTGATGTCCTATCCCCAAAGTACCCACAGAGGTTATCTATGAGGAAGTCCAACCATTCGTACATTGTTTCCTCAGTAAACTTCAGATGACATAATATAATCGCATGATGACATAAACATGGTATATTCATTTTCACTATGGAAGTTTTCTATAAGAACTAAATGTAATTTGTTTCTCATGACACTACCATTGTATTTTCATCACACATCCCCAGTCATCAATCTAATAAAACAGAAATAAATCAACATACCAGTGGCGGTCGCTAGAAACGTCTGTACGTCTTTGTATTTTGCCATAGTTTTTATTGTCAGCAGGCGATACGTTTGTCCCCTGAACGTAAGTGACTTGCATCTCTCAACAAATGTGTTCCATGTATCTATACCCTCTAACGCAATCAGGCAGTCACCTTCCGAAACGTATCTGGCATCAGCGTCACATCTATCTACAATTAGCATCGCAGAGTATGAGGTGATGTGTGATACATACAAGTGAGTGAGTGGAAGGTTGCTTGTTTTGTGAGTGATTGATAATTTTTGCTTGGAGTAGCAGCTTAATGTTTGAGTGAGTGAGTGAGTGAGTTGGGTTTAACGCCGCTTTTAACAGTATTGCAGTTATATTTCGGCGTGTCAGCTTAATGTGGGAGGAAAGCCCGAAGTGATGCAGGTCTCAGACGTTTACCACTTCGATGAAACCCACGAGCTCGGGTAAGGTGCTGACAAACCTAGAAACATAATCGGGGCGAACCGGGATTCGAACCCACAATCATAGGTTTCTGACGTGGGAGGGACGCAACTCTGCACAGCGAATCGCGGCGCCTTAGACGACTGGGCCACCCGTGCCCCCCTAATGTTTGAGCAAATCTTGAAATGAACTGTTTGATTGTCAAGTTGGTAAGTAACAGTAAAGACCATATATTCTAGGGATGACAACGTTTTTATTCTGTTATGATGCGACGTGTCGGTACAGATCCTTATACCATTGTCAAGCACTCTTGCTTGACGCATTTCGTTGATTTACCTTTAGTGAGAAACACCAGTGCTGATATGATGGTGACAATTGTGATTGCGAAGGTCAATATGTTTAGTGAATTAAATACTTGATTAATTAGAGAATACTCTTTAGTGGGAACGTTCCTATAGTGCCACTGACCTTGGACCTTTGAGGTCCTCACGTGTGTAGAAAGAGCAAAATATTCCCATCGCCCAAGTTTCGAAAAAAAGACAATCAAGCAATCTCAATTAAATTATGTATTAACTGATTTCCACATTTTTGAAGCATCGGATGTTATTTTGACAAATGGATGATTTTAGAAAGTATCTTGCCTTTTATCTTTAAAAGAAATTAAACAACAGGAAGTGACACATTTAGAAAAGTCCACCATTAGCCATTGGAAAAAGCATTCATCCCCGGCAGGATTTGAGATTTCAATAAGGGTTGATTAGTTAGTTCCGATCAAACAGTCACACGCAGACTACTCACATTGACAATGTTCAGGCCCTGAGGACCACTGGGCAGTGCTGAGACAGGTGATCATTCCGTTTCCTCCCATCAAGATGTATCCAACATGGCAGGTATGTTGAGCTCTGGCCTGGTACAGACTGAGGCCCGCAGTGGTCAGAGAAACGTCAGCATTGGCAATAGGAGCAGGATCCAGACAGTCCACAGCTTGGAACATACGTACATCACGTGCAGGAAATAACGATAGAAACATGTTCATAAAGAGACACTACAAATACATTAAAAACTGCTTATTAAGTTAAGCAAAACATTCTGTTTAAAATATCCATTATTTTGCAATGAGATAAATGCTTAAGAATTATGGCAATGTAAAGATTAAAAAAAATTCACGTGTCCCAATGGGATGGCTAAACGGTATAAATTGAAGTGATAGCTATGAAGCGTACATATCTAGATGGGTCAATGTACTTCTTTCCAGGAAAGAGGGACAACTATGATATATGTATCTGCCCCTGCTTTTTGGATAACGCTTCTATGCCATTCTGATAACGAGCGAACGTTTTAACTGCTCTGCTATCCACTGACGCCTACAACCTACCAGCCTACACACTACGAGACACAAACATACGTTGACATTCATTCCCTGCCTTCACCCAGGCCTTGTTTTCGTTACAGGTGGCTGTGGCAGGAGTTCCTGTGTTGATGTAGCCCACGTTGCAGGTGTAGGTGGCCCCGGAGCCGAAGGTAGTCGCGGGATGCTCCTCCATGGCGTTAGTCCTGATGGGTGGAAGGCCGCAATCGACCGCTGGGGATAAATGTACAATGTAACTACAAGAAACAAAATACTGGTAATCAACTTTGAAAAATACTTCTAGTGCATTTTGAACAGTCCTAGAGAACATACAATCTACGCAAAAATTTGGCTAGAGACAGTGTCAGTGTATATTTATGCATATAAAATGAACAAGAAAAGTTAGGGATCGTGAACATCTTTAGGGCTATTGATTGTAGTGTCGACTGAGTTTCATTAAATGTGTACGGTACATAAACATATTTCATGATCCACAAGTGTTTTGTTCAGTATATGTCACTGTCCGTCCTAGATCCCTGGCATGGTGATTACCGATTTGAAAAGATATCACCACAGTCATCTTAATGAGATTTTGGGTATCTCGTGATAGTAGTTATAGACCGTACCCTAGCCCCTAATTCAGCAGGAGTTATCTCCCCTACCGGATGTGCCGCCATCTTGGATTGGCGAAGAGGGGGCATGCTGGGTAATGCGTGCGCATCCAAGATGGCGGCACGTCCGGTTCCGGGGAGATAAGAGGAGATAAGAAGCGCTCGTAAATGAAAAATAAAATGAAAACGGAACAGAAGCGCGCGTAAAATCCTCCAATTTCATTTTTAAAAAAGTGAGAAAAAAAGTGGCGGCGGTGGTGGAGGAGGGAGGAGGAAGAGGAGTAGTAGTTTTTTGTTGTTGTGGTTGGTAGGTAAAGCAATGATGAAAGCGTTCTTTCGGGAGAGTGGGGTGGCCCTGAAAAGAACTGTTGGAAACAAACTGGAAACAAACTGGACAAGGCTTGTTTCTGTTTTACATTTCTTTCCTTGATCTCGATACTAGATAATACTACGGTCCGCTCCAACAGTCGGGTACGTCAATTCCGCGTTGTATGGTTCGTTGTAATGCTGCAATAGCCTCAGACTTGTTCTTAAATCAGTGCGGGGTCTGCGATAAGATCGTCTACGATTCATCAGGTGGATAGGCCACTATTGTCCACGAATAGACTTTACTCATCCACGGACATTGTTGACTGTTGGTCTGGCACTTCATACAGGTGTATCGGGACGACATGGTTGATCTCTCATTCAGTGCTAGGACTGTGACTGTGTGCGTGGCTTCGCTTTTTTTTTTATAGGAGAGGCACTGAAACCCTGCTTCCTGTGTTGCTCGTGGTGGGGTATACGGAATTTATTACCCCGCTGAGAAATTGTTTTAATTCATTTGATAGTCATGTTAAAACATGTCGGTAAGATAAATTCATTGTAGCAGGATCAGTCAGGGAAGATTGGAATTTAAGCGTCCCTCGTTAGGTTTTATACCATGAGCCGGAAACCTAAGGTGGGAATCATAAGGTGAGTGGTATAAAATCCAACATGGAACGCATAAAACCTCATGTGCTATCGTGTAAATTAATTAAAGCAAATTAAAAATAGATTGAAAACAGCTGTTCGATTGAGCTCAGGTTAACTTGTGCGATGTCACGTGGCGTCCATTGACTCGGAAAAAGCGTGCGGCGTTTTGCTTTAAAGCGGGTAAGAAGCCATTTATTTTGTCTCTCAGAAATCCACGAGCAGCCTGTATTGCTCGTGTAAGAGATTAAGTCTCTGCTGAGAAATGCATTACCCTCCAAGGCGGGTTTACACAGTAATTCATCAAGATCACGAGGATCACGGATATGGATGTGTGATAAGAAAATTTATACCTCTGCCGGTTAAACTATTGCTTTCACAAGGGAAGAGTTTTGTTAGGACAAACCCCTACTGACGTGTAAAAGACAACGTCGTCTACTGCCAGATTGTTACTTACATGAACCAGACAACGTTTTGTTTTGCCAAAACTCTACTCACGTGCACAGGACACCGTATTATTGTGCCAGACTCCGACTGAGGTACACATAGTGTTGTTAGTTGTGTTCGGGGAAGCTGTGTAGCCAGAAAGGCACGTGTAGTGGGCAATGGCTCCGTAAGATGTGGCTGCGAAGCTGACCTTAGATGACGCCACCTCAGCTGGCTGACCACAGTCTATTTCTACAAGTGGAGTTTATGATGATATATTTCCAGAGTACACTTATTTCACTTTTACAGTTACATGTAAACTGTAGTTTGTTACTTTACTATTTGCCATTAATTTCTCAGCCTTTACTCATTTTCAAACAACTGTCCTATTTTTCAGTGTGTCACAACGTGTGTGTAGAGGTCTCCCATGTGTATGTTGTCTGTATGTATGAATGTGTCTTTCAGTGTCTGTTTCTTTCAGTGTGTGTGTGTGTGTGTGTGTGTGTGTGTGTGTGTTCTACTCACCGAGCCCTGAGCACACGTAGTCGTCCCCAGCCTGAACCGGGACACACATCTGCACATCTGAACATGGATAGTTCCAACACGGATCCTTCTTCCTCTGGGACTGACGAGAAAACCACAGAGCACAGGAGTTCAAGTAGGTGTGTAGGTTTCACAAATAAGTTTGTGGTGTTCGTGCATATACATAAATCACAATCCCTAGGCTCTTTGAAACACATCACCTTCATAACATTCAAACGCCATCAGCGTTCATATACTAAAAAAGGTATAAAAGATGGAAATTAAGACAGATAGTACTTTACTTTGGCATGCGCTCTTGACTGAAAAGGGCTGAAATTTGGCCTCCCTCATATAGATGACAGCGTTTCGGCACAGCACCTTACTCCCATGATCTCTCAGTGACCAGCCAGAGGGATGGTGTAAATCCTGCTTGGGTACCATGCAGGAAGCAGATGTTCCGTAAGTCCCCATGGTCCCTTGTGTGGTGGCCTAACTTTGGTTGCTGGTGATCACTAACCAATTTATATAATGTGTTGTTCCGAATAGTCAAACTTTTATAGTTAATTACTAGTTTTATATTTCTAGCTGTGATACTCGAGTTCTTTTACTGTCCTTTGTCGACAGATTTTATAGTCTCCATTTATGTAATATTACTGTACAACTTGATTTAGTCACGATATGGATGAAATATTGCCGTTGTGACTATATATCTTAACTCACTCACTCACTCAGTGACCAGCTGACATTGGGGAATTAAGACTTGTATACTTATCAAGATGTCACTATGATATACCGAAACGAGGGTACGTATCTAGGTCACTCGACGATGATTTTGACTTTGGCTCTGTTATTTCTTGTTACAAATGGACAAGTCAGTTAAAAATGTGGCTATATGACCTTTATTGAACGATGAGTAGTAGACCGGAAGCTTATTTGAAACTTTAAATTTTAAATCAAAACAAGATAATTTGGCCAAGAAGTTAAAATAAAATTCTTGATTCCCAAATAAAGACAACCCAAGAAGTAATCCCGATTCGTGTGCATACAGAAACAAATCAGCAAGGCGAGGAACACAATTTGTGCCCATGGGGATCCCTATTTCTTGCTTGAAAGTCTTACCACCAACTTTCACAATGGAAGCCAACACTCTACAGTAATTAGCGCTGATAGTATGGAAGCTAGTACTTAAGTTACCTTAGATAAGTAATAGGCAATGGACAATGGGCAAATGGGAGGCCGGGGGTAATTAGCACTGAAATGTGAAGAATGGACATAGCAATGGGCGAGGTAATTAGCACCGACAAAGATCAAAGCAATAAGTTCCAAGCACTAGGAAGGAAGATAGATTCCCTGGCCCCGGTTCATAGCTGGCTGGTGTCACCTGATGTCAATGGCTTCTTTTAGTTTTTTCTTTGTCGCCAGTTGTTTTTGGAAACTGATTAGTGACAGGGCCTTGGTAGGGTATGGTGATTCTGATGGGGGATGGAGCTGGTTTGGGCCTGGGATCGGAGTTCTTGAGGTTCTTGAGGGTCTTGCGGGTCTTGCGGGTCTTGCGGATGGTGTTGGAGACAGGGTGGGCAGGATAGCTGTTGATGGAGGTTAATGTTTCCTTGAGATGGTCCAGTTCATCAAGAACAAAGCCAACATAGATGTCACCTTCTCTAGCGGCAAGTCCATCAAGACCAATCTACATGCCAATGGCAGAGGCACAAGCAGCAGAAGTCGCAACACCCGAGGATATATATACCAGACCCCCTGCAACTGTGGCCACCAGTACATTGAAGAAACCCCCAGACCCATCAACACCAGACACAAAGAACATCAGCGCTCTGTCAACAAAATCGACCTGAAATCCGCTATTTCCGAACACATTCTGAAGAACCAAACCATAACCTCACGTAGGAAGCCACCAACGTCCAGTCAACCAACAACGATAACTGGCGACAAAGAAAACTACAAGAAACCATTGACATCAGGAGACACCAGCCAGCCATGAATACGTCCCATTTTAATTCTGGAAACCCATTGGTCCAGAGAAGAAAAATATTCTCGCCGTGGGAATATTCTCTTTACATTTTTTCTTCCTTTTCATGAACCCATGAGAACAGCATGTTCAATTGTCTAAATACCTTTGAAGAGTTTCTGAACAAATGGGTTTCCAGAATTAAAATGGGAAGAGTACATTACTTTATAATCAATAGTAGAGGACTTTTAAAGCCAATGACAGTCCATTTGTCATGGATGAGTTTTCACATTGGGCCATTTTGTATCGTTTGCATAATGTATGGAATGTATGCTTCCGACATAAGAGAACTAATTATTTGAATTAGCTATCGCTGAGGTGTACATTTGCAAAACCGTGGCGTTCATTCTCAACATCTACATCAAACGTTGCCCGAATGTTATATGAAAAAGCATAATTTCCAGTCTGTTGGGCAAGTGCCGTCAAACGGTTTTGGTTCTTGGGGTTGTCGGGGTTGTTGGGGTTGTCGGGGTTGTTGGGGTTGCAATCAGACCTGGGTGTGGCGGGTCGGGGAAAAAACCGACACCAAGACAAGATCGTCTCAGAACATCTATCAGAACTATTAAAATACAAATTAGGAATGGAACATATAAAAGAAGAGGAAATAAGAGGAATACAAATTAGAAATAAAATGCAATAGTATGAGAAAGGAGAAAAGCCAACAAGTTATTTCTGCCACTTAGAAAACAGAAGTGATGTCAGTAAATCAATAAATATAGTTATAACTGAAGATGATACGGTAATAACAGACGGCAATTGCATATTGGATGAGTCGAACTTTTATAAAAAAAATATATACATCTGATAGCAATGACAGATATTTAACGAGTTAGAGACTCCAACATAAAAAAAACAAAATGAAAATCCATTTAGAAAGAGAAATTTCATTGGCAGTTAAAAACATGAAAAACAATAAAAGCCTCGGTATTGATGGCTTTGCTGTTAAATTTATACTTTTTATGGGAGGGAAAGAACTAAAATTCTGGATATACAGAGTTTAAAAAGTACCTCTGCTAATAACAAAATGAGTATTACAATGAAATAGGAGTTATAACTTGCATACCAAAATCAAATATAGGCAGAACGCTGATAAAAAACTGGAGACCAATAACTTTATTGAATGCACTCTAAAATAATTAGTACTTGTTTTGGAATATTGGAATTGCTCATTCGTAATAATCAAACAGGCCTTATTCCAGGAAGATCTATGACAAGAAACAAAACAAGGATGTTATACGATATTATCTTTGAATACAATGGACAAAATAAATCAGGATTACTTCTGCTGATATGTTTTGAAAAGGCTGTCGACAAGGAGAACCATTGTCGCAAGATATGTTCCTCCTAGTAGCTGAAATCCGAGGAGTGATGTGAGTGAGTATGGTTTTACGCCGCTTTTAGCAATATTCCAGCAATATCAGTACGGGGGACACCAGAAATGGGCTTCACACATTGTACCCATGTCGGGAACCGAACCCGGGTCTTCGGCCTGACGAGCGAACGTTTAACCACTAGGCTACCCGACCGCCCCTGAAATCCTAGGATATATTATTAGAAATAAAATTGCAGGAATTATTGTTAATGCCAAAGAATACAAACTTTGGCTGGCAGTATGTTGATAATACTGAATTACTTTTAAATGGTAAAGACGAAAGCTTATATGCAGCTACAGAAACACTTAACAAATTCTACAAAATGTCTGGCTTAAAAATTAATGTAGACAAGACAAAAGCGATATGGATAGGCTCCAAAGCGGATGGCAATGATAAAGGAATTCGAAGTATTAGGAATGATGTTTAATCCAAACTAAAGTGAACTCTGGGTAATCAATACAAAAAGAGTGCTAGAAGAAATAAATAGATTGCTTGCAAATTGGAGAAAAAGAATTCTAACGTTAATATGAAAAAATACAGTCATAAAAAACTTTAGCATTGTCAAAATTAGTTCACATATTTTCGACACTACCAAACCCTCTGGAGAATTTTGTCTTATCACTTGACAAAATATTTTACAATTTTATCTGCAATAATAAAAGACAAAATCAAAAGGACCCCTTTGACAGGGAAATATGAGGATGCACTGAAACTATCTACGCTCAGATTATAAAACAACATATGGTAACCCTTGCAATATCCCAATTAAAGATTACTCTCTTTGCGTGCTAATGTTGAAAAGCAATCTATTTTTTAAAAAACCTACTGGAAAGATGTATTGAAAGCTTGGCATAACTTTAGTAAAACAGATATTATTAATGTTGATAATATAGACGAAATTCTGTCCCAACGATTATTAGGTAATCACTACTTCAAATAAGCAACATACTATACTGAACAACAAAAGTTCCTGTGACACTGAATAAGATTTAATGCAAAGTTATGTTTTTTACCAAATCTGAAACAATTTCGGTTTGTAACAGGTAAAAGACTCCTATAAGTGTTCAAATGGTTTAATTTGCCATACTGACTTAAGAAAGTGCGTGATTTCATAAAAAAAAACATGAACATGCCAAAATGTCAATTTACAAATCAATAGCGTGTGTGTCCACCTCTCGTTGCGATGCAGGCAACACATCTTCGTCTCATGGAATGGACCAGGCGTCGCATAACGTCCTGTGAGCTATCTGTCCATATCTGCTGCAGCATGTTTCGAAGTTCCTGGAGTGTCTGTGGAACACGTGGTTGACGTCGAAGGCGCTGATCGATCTCATCCCACATGTGCTTGATTGGTGAGAGATCAGGGGAGCGAGCCGGCCAGGGGATGAAATTCACGTTGTTTTGTTGAAGGGAATCCTGACCAGGTGGAGCATTATGAGACCGGGCGTTGTCATGTTGAAAGGTAATGCCTGGGACATGACGACGCAAAAACGGTAGAACAACAGGGCCGATGATCTCGTCGCGGTAGCGCTGTCAATTGAGATTTCTCTCCATCACTATCAAACGGGTCCTCTGTCTTGCTGTAATCCCACCCCATACCATACCGCTGCCGCTCGCGAACCGATCTTCTTCCATGACACAATGATTGACGTAACGTTCACCTCGACGTCGGTACACTCGAATCCGTCCATCACTGTGGCTGAGGTGAAAACGAGACTCGTCAGTGAATAGAACTTGTCCCCACTGCATGGCCGTCCAGCGTAGACGCTGACTGCACCACTGTAGACGTGCTTGACGGTGGTTTCCTGTCAAAGTGGGACGTCTGGCGGGTGTTTTGGCGACAATCCCTGCACATCTGAGGCGGCGATGTACGGTTTGTGAAGATATTCGTCGAAGGCCAGGGATGCTGTTGTAGGCTGGAATCGATTTCGTAGGTGTACTGTTCGAATCCAGTTGTCTTGTCGATTATTGGTTACGCGTGGCCTGCCACTCCGAGGATGGTCTCTGACTGCATTCGTCTGTTGCAAACGTTGCCATAAACACCAAATGGTGTTTCTGTGGACGTTAAATTGTCTTGCAACATCACGTTGACTCGATCCTGCTCCAAGCATACCAATGCCTCGCAGAGGCACATTTTCGGACAGCCGTGGCATTTCGTAATGTTGAATAATTGCGTAATTTTGTTGTTTTTCTGACAGGTTAATGTCAGCACGATGCTTAACAAGGCATATGGAATCCCGTTAAGGCACATGTTTTTATACCCATTCTTGGGTAGTGAAATGCAAAGGGCTTGCTTAAAAGTCAACTTTTGCATGGAATGCATGCTTTTCTGTAGCAGTTGCGTTTTTGTGACTTGATTCCATACATGTACTACAATATTGAAAACCAAACTCTACTTGTTTGAAAAATACACTAAGATATTGGTGTCACAGAAACTTTTGTTGTTGAGTATACATAAAGCAATGGGCTAAAAGTGGAATGAACTCAATTAAAGATATATGCAATGAAAACGGATTGATGTAAATCGAAGAACTGAAACTAAAATATCCGATAATAGGTACATTATTAGACTAAAGATATTTAATTTTCAATAAACCGAACTCATGGAAAACAGCAAACAAGAAAAATAATTTTACAGAATTTGTATATAAACAGTTGCTTAAGTGATCTGATGAAAACCGTTAAAGGCGCTGGAATCTTTTAAGATATAGTAATATCAAATGAAAATAATCTTAATTTTTCACTGTGATTTTAATTGGAAAGTAAGTGAGTGAGTTAATGCTTTACGTCACATCGGCAATATTTCAGCCATATCGTGACTTAATTGGAAAGAGATATTCACTGTTTATAGATGTAAACTGAAGGATGTAAAACTTTTTGATCTTCAGTACAGATTTGTACATGGAATTATCTACACAATTTAATTAAAATCAAATCTTAGTTCTCGCTTCCGCTAAACAAAGATCTGAGGACATCCCATTACGGGTCACGTCAGAACGACCTTGCGCGAACTTTGACCGGCCAATGGATTGACCAATCAGAAGGGAGCTTTCTCGTGCTTTACGGCACTAATTTCAAATTGGCGACAACGCTTCGAAACATATTTTGACAAATTCTCGATTACAAATTTGAAACCTGAATAAAAGAACATTCTGGAATGGCTAATAGATGGTCTAGACTGTATGGATTCTGTTGTTTAACCCGTAACTATCGTTCAGAATACCCCGTGTTAAAGTTTTCGAGGTTGCAAGATTAGTGATCACATTCCGACTGTCACTTTCATAATCTGGTAAGCGAAGCTCTGATTAGTCGGATGAAAGTTCGTTCTGACGTGACCCCTTATGGGATGTCTTCAGATCTTTGTTTAGCAGAAGCGAGAACTGAGGTCTGATTTTAATGAGATTGTTATCTACACAAAGTACACACTTTTTACAACGAATCTTGTAGACACCAGTGTTTGTAGCTTTTGTAATGGTGTCAATGAGGTCATCAGCCATGTCTTTTGGGAATGTCATGAAACTAAAAAAACTGGAATGATCTCGAACTTTGGCTTAACAATTATCTTTCATAAAAAAATGAATTGACAAAATATCTTATTTGGTTTGGTCTAACTACTTTGTCAGTGTGGGTTCGAATCCCGGATGGGACTCAACCCAAAAGAGTACTACAATTTGTACTTTACAAAGAAAGTGTTATCCCAAATATAACATTTGTTACGAGTAAATTTAATTGCATGTATTCCTGAACCACTCACCTGCTTGCTACTTGTTACCGTTGGATTTGGGGTGTCGCGCATCACCTCCCTGTAGGTTAGTTCACAGACGTTGGTTCTTTCATGATAGATAATCTATGGACGTTGTGCTGCTGGGCGTACCCATTGACGATTCGTGCATTGTGAGCATGAGCGTTGTGGTCCTGGAAGTCAAAATGTCGAAACACACGCCTTGCAAACCGGACAACAAAGAGTGTCAGTATGTTGTCCCGATAGTGCTGTCCCCTGACTCTTCCTTGCACAATATGGAGTGAGGTACGGTCAGTCATAGTGATGCCACCCAAAAACCATAACCGATCAACGGCTGGAGGTGTCAAGTTGACATTGGCTTGAAAGATTGCCAGACACGACCACGCATAGTGCAAAGTGAATCGGGGCTCGCTACGATAATCCCAGTTTCGACGTTAACGTTGTGTTCGCCATTGGCGTCTGTTGGCAGTATGATGATTTGTAAGGGACGGCACAACACGAGCTCTATTTCGTAGATGAATGAAATTAAGTGAATCACAACTGTATGATATACAGAATCAATTATATTGATAGAAATCATGGTCCACAGAGATTAATAATCGACCTTCCTTCAAAGTGTCAAAATCAGGAATGACACCCGTCGCACGTGTGTGGCGCTCCTGCGTAAGGCACGTGCAAACTACATGTGTTTCGGCAATAAGTTTAACAGACATAAAATGTTCTTGCATAGGATGTTTGTCGTCAACACTTATCTTGTAATACTGGGTATTAACATTTATTATTCATGACCCCCTATTTATTTAGAAGAGTAGGGGATCATGACAACGTGTGTTTCGATATTTATATATACTATTCAAAAAAAAGAAATGTTACATCAAGTTCCAAGGAGATATATTTTACTTTGAAAGGCAGTATCACAAAGAACAATAACAAATACATGGTCTGTATCATGTCTCGAGACTCGTGACAACTGCCACACAACGCCTCCGCATGGACCTTGTGATGCTTGTGAACACATGATTGGGAAGACGACGCCATTGTTGCTGCAAAATGGTGCGAAGATCTTGCAAATTCTGTGGTTGGTTCTGGAGAGTGCGCAGACTTCTGCCAAGAGCAGCCCAGACGTGTTCGATGGGATTGAGGTCGGGAGACCTTGACGGTCAGTCCATGACGTTGACTCCCGCATTCTGAAGGAAATTTGTCAAAATTGCTGTGTGGGGTCTGGCATTGTCGTGTTGGAAGATCAAAACGGGTCCATGTGCGGCCATACAAAGGCAGAACTTCTGGTGCCAGTACCTGGTCGCGGTAAGCAGCAGCGTTGAGGTTGCCACGGATGACAAGAAGCCTGGAACGTGCATTGCCACAGAAAGCACCCCACACCATGACACTTCCGCCTCGAAATCTGTCAACTTCCTGTACACTGGGCGTAACGTTCATGACGGCGCCTCCACACCCTCGCCCTACCATCAGCAAATCGAAGATTAAATCGGGATTCATCACTGAAGCCGACTTGATTCCAATTCCTAAGTCCATCGTAAGTGTCGCTGTGCCCACAATTGACGACGACGGCTGTGTAATTGAGTCAGAATGGGCCCGCAGTTTAGCCGTCGTGCTTGAAGGTGAGCAGTTCTCAGACGGTTTTGAACAGTTTGCGCACTCAGTCTACCCCTAAACAGTTCATTTCTGGTTGATGTAGCCGTCAAATATCGGTTACGGAGGTGACGTAAGACAATCTGACGATCCTCTGCATGAGACGTCAGGTGGTCGACCTGGCCGATGGCGATCAGCGGTGGTACCCGTTTGCTGTAGACGCGTCTGTAAATCATAAACAGTCCGTCGACTACAACCCATCGTCCTTGCGACTTCAGCTACGGACGTTCCCATCTGCAACATGCCGATGGCACGTTCACGTTGCACATTTGAAAGGCGTGGCATGACAAATGGCCGTAAAGACTTTTGTTTTCTTGTGTTTTTCTTTTTTTGTTAATGACTGCTAACAAGTATGGCTGAAAACACATGCGATATTATGGCCATTGACCAGTTGCACGTGAAAAACCACTTTTGCCACATGATTTTGATCGGTTCACCTGCACACAGAAACAAAACACACACACACACACACACACACACACACACACACACACACACACACACACACACACACACACACACACACACACACACACACACACACACACACACACTGTGCATAATTAGATGGAGTATAATGAAATGAGTGTGACAGGTGGTGCAGAATACCTAAAAAAATGTATGAAGCAGCAGGATTAAGTAAACGAGTTACGTTTGATGTTTCATGTGAAAATGTTCCTTAAAGTACTTGACATGACACGTGAAACAGATCAGTAGCGGGTATAACCGGCACGTGCCCGGATGACGCATTCCACCCTACATCTCATGCCTCCAGTCAGACGTTGGATCTGTTGATGGGTAAATCTTGCACAGGAGGAACTCGCGCCTTTATGCACCGCTTCAGAGTAACCCAAACATGTTCAAGTGGGTTCAAATCTGGGCTCTTTGCTGGCCAGGGTAGAGTCGTTATTGCATTGGCCCTCGTGTAATCCACGACTGCATGCGAATGATGAGGCCTGGCATTGTCATCCATGTACCGAGGTCGAGTAGCAAGAGGGTGGTTGTCAATATGAGGAACGACGACTGGCCTCAAAACGTCCTAGATGTACTGAACCCCTGTTAAGTGACCACCACCTTTATGGTGACCAAATCCAACTTGCAATCATGAGAGATGCACCCCTAAACCATTACCGAGCCCCCGCCGAATGCAACAGTCGGTTTAATGTTCCTGGGGGTGTAGGCCGTGTTCTGGTGCCCCCACACTCTCGTTCTTCCATCAGTCTGACAAACGGATCCGTCTCCAAGTTCTCAGATTCCAGTTCTGTCGCGCCATACACCATGCTAAACAAGCAGCTTTGTGGTGATCTCTCAACAAGGGACGCTTTATGACTCGTCTAGCCCTCAGTCCTGCTGCTTTCAGCCGGTTCCTGACGGTTCTGGTGCTGAAACGACGATTAGGCAACCACAGCTATTTCAGACGAGTACTTGTTAAACAAGGGTTCTCGACGTATGAGACTAAGAATGTCGCTGTCTTCGCTATGTGTCGCCACAGGAGGTATTGCGGATCTGGGACGGCCTTGTACATCGCCGGTCCGAGCATGTTTCTCGACTAAACGGCTTACGACAGTGTGATGATACCCCATATTCCGACCAATGGCATTACAAGACATTCCTGCGTTATACATGCCGATTATTTGCCATCTTGTGGCGTTTGATAATTGCCTTCGTGCCATGGTCACACAATGTCATGGAATAAATGTTTAAAACCGAGCTTAAGTACACAATTTTAACGTTTAGATATACTGCTTTTAGAGATACTTGAGGGTAGCATGCTGCACGGGCACACCATGCATGGCACGTGAGCTTTCGTCACGAATGACTGACTACATCATCTCGAGTAAACATAATTCTTCCAGTAATTATATCTTTCATGACTGTTACAAATATTGGGACCAAACAATAATTAAATATATTAGGATGTGCTTAACATTTTTCTTTGTGTATATGTGACTGCTTGGTTATTGCTCTTGGTTGTCATTTTCAGGAAGTATTTCACAAGGTTACTGTTGTTTATGAAGGTAATAGGGCATATCTGAAAACTCAACATGAAGAGCTGATATTGGAGTTGTTGCTAAATCCCTATGCATATTCTCAAAGTTGAATACGGTTAATCTGACAAAGAGGACATTGAGACGCAGACGTAAACACCTTTAAACAACTGGCAAGTCTAAATACGATTAGGGGCTTGCAAGCAATAAAATAGTTGGTTCATCATCACCCCACTTCGTTTTTGAAATACGCTTTAATAGATTGATGATCTTGTTATACGTGTTATGCAAATGTGTTATTTGGCGTGACGATGTTAATCTTTGATAAAAATGAACACTAAGAACTTTAGACACAGACACCATTTCCAATTTATGGTGTCGAATTCGTAAGGGAATCATCATGTGATCACCATGCCACTGATAGTGATTTGTAATATCTTTAATACTTATTTTGAACACCAGGTACTGACTTTACTTAAGGAGTTTTGGATAAATTCCAAGAAAAACTCAATATAACCAACCCGAAACGAGTTACCTGTTGCCAAAACAACTTCCAAGATGACAGGATAAAAAGTAATAATTTGTGCATGTTGCACACAAGACGCCCGTGTGGAACTGAACAGGCGTTTCTCTGCAGTTGAGTGGAGTGAGTATGGTTTTACGCCGCTTTTAGCAATATTCCAGCAATATCACGGCGGGGGACACCAGAAATGGGCATCACACATTGTACCCATGTCGGGAATCGAACCAGGGTCTTCGGCGTGACGAGCGAACGCTTTAACCACTAGGCTACCCGACCGCCCCTTTCTCTGCAGTACATGAGTAAGTAGCTCATGAAAACCTATATCAAAAGAACAGATTCCTAAACAAATGTTAGGAAATAAAAGACTATATGTCCTTATTTCCGACGCAGATTTCATTCGTGCTCCGTAATATAAAAACAACAACTGCATATTGCTTGAAGCTCATGCAACTGACGGGATTGACACACGGAGTTTTTTCGCATGGGACTGCATGGTGACCAGGGCGGAGAGCAAGTGCATGCAACTACCAATCTCCGCATGCAACTACCAATCTCCGCATGCAACTACCAAACTCCGCATGCAACTACCAAACTCCGCATGCAACTACCAATCCCCGCATGCAACTACCAATCCCCGCATGCAACTACCAATCCCCGCATGCAACTACCAATCCCCGCATGCAACTACCAAACTCCGCATGCAACTACCAATCCCCGCATGCAACTACCAATCACCTGAACCGACGTGTGTGGGGAACACTCAGCAGTAACAACTGTATATCATTCTGAAAGGACACCGCCTACAAATATCGCCTGATATTCAGTCTGTTGCCCCAGTCGTACAAAAGTGGAAAACCTAATTATATGGTACCAGGAAAAGCTATTTATTAACTGTGATTATAAACCGTGATAAACTGTATTATAAGTGACATATGTTTG